CTTGGACTTCCAGATCCGGGAACCCGACTTGGTCGTACGCGCCGTCGCAGTACGCGCAGTGCACGTTCGCCTGCTGCGTGAAGCTCCTCGGGTCGTCGGCGGGGAGAGCCTTCATCAGCTCCACCGCCCGCTTGTACTTGTCAACGTACGCCTCGTCGACGAGATGAGCTGCCGGCCTGACACGTGTCCGCGATGATACTGAAGTGGGATCGAAGTCCTTGAAGCGCCGGGCAGGAGGCGGGCAGCAGTTCGTCGGCTCGGCGCCAGCTGGCAGGTCCGCGGCCCCACACTGGGTTGTGTCGGGCGCCGTGATTGGCTGGGAGAAGGCGGCTGGGGATTGGGTGAGGGCGGCCGCCGCACCGTACAGGCCACCGGCGAGCAGGACGTCTCGTCTAGTACTGCGGCGGTGTGATCCATCGTCATCTTCACGCCGGGAGGTTGCTCTGCATGCGCCGGAGGAATACTTTGGCCGGAAGCGGAGTGAGGAGGAAGGTGAGAGGGAGAAATAGTGGTGGCGGCGGGGGAGGAAGGAGGAGTTGGCGGCGGGGTTTGGGGTTTTGGCGGCGGATGGAAGAGAAGCCATGGTTTTCCTCGGAATGAATTGTGACGAGAAAACTAAAGAGGGAATCGTTACGTTATATAGCGACGGAAAGCGGAGACTTTACATCGTTGTTTGATTAATCACAAAATCGGCAGCATTGAAAGTTCTTTGGGGAAAGGATATCTACTACCTATATTACCTAAGACTTGTCGACGGACGTTGTGGTATTCATTTCGTACACGGCGAATCTAATGGTCCTCCGATGACCAGCGGATGGCAACATTTTGTGTATTATATTGATCTGGATGGTGGTAGCCAATTTTTATTCCGCGATGATCAGTAGGGGTAAGGTAATAATGGGGAATGGATCAGGTCAGTAATCTTATGGTGAGTAATTATGAGTAACCCGTCCACATCAGCATCCTCTCTCTCATGGAAAGCCTTTAATTTTTTCCCTTTTTAATCTTTGACGGACGATTTCTCGCTCATTTTAAGTCGAAATTTAATTTTTTTTGCACAGTTAGATCAGATTAATTGTGCTCTTCAAAATGATATCCACTTTAATATATTTTTCGAACAAAAAAAATTGAGCCATTTTTTACCAGCCTATACCATATGGTATTGACTGGTATTGAAATAAAAGCATACCTATGTTTTGAAAAACGTACCATGGTGGTATGAACAAAGCAATACTGTAGGATGGTTGAATACATGATAGTAGAAGTATATTAATTGTAATTTACGACTTTTAACATTGTATACCACACAATACCACCCCGTACCAGGGTGGTATTGTATGGTATTGTGTGGTATTTTTTGGTCCTGTAATTTGTTCACCCAGAAATTTGTAGATCCAATAGATCATGATGAACTCGTCCCTTCTGTGCAAACGTTTTCAAAAACAAATTAAAAATGAAGAAGATACCATACAATACCACCCCGTACCAGGGTGGTATTGTATGGTATTGTGTGGTATTTTTTGGTCCTGTAATTTGTTCACCCAGAAATTTGTAGATCCAGTAGATCATGATGAACTCATCCCTGCTGTGCAAACGTTTTCAAAAACGAATTAAAAACGAAGAAGATACCATATGGTATGCAGTTGGTACCGAGAGGCCAGAATTTTTTTTCCTAAAAAAATATTGAAAATTGATCTCATTTTGTAGAGCACGGTGAACTCGTTCCATCTGTGCAAAAAAAATTAAAATCCGAGTTAAAACGAAAAAGATATGAGTCAATTAAGAAAGCTAGTGAAAATAAAAATAGTCTTTAATTATCCATCCTTAGATCTGGATTTTCTAAATGAAGGGTGCAGATTTGGTTATTGATGGGTGCATAACCCATGGTTATGCACCCTATCTTGAGCCGTAATAATGCGTGGTAATATTAGACATTTTTTTGTTCGGCGCTACGTTGTATAATTTTCCAAGAGTGTTTCTAGTGACTAGCTAGGTTGTGGAATATATTAATAAGATTGGATTGGATACAGTCCGGTTTTGATTTAGTTTGGTCTTGACCCGATTCGGTCCCAATTCGGTCTTGATTTTATATTGAGCTTGTGGGGATTTGAGTGGTCTAAGGTCTGAAAGGGTGAGGAGTTGGTTAAGTTTTGTACTACAAAGTGCAAAGGTTTATGACCGTTTATGCAAATTACCCTGAAGTTTTGGGTGTTGAGCTCTCTTATCCGGTCTTTATCCAGTTTTCGATCCGGTTCTAAACGATTTTTTACCTCAAATCTAAGTCCAAAGATTGAATTGGATTGTTTACTATCCGGTCACGGTCCAGTCTCGGTCTGAGTTATACGGTACGGTTTTGAGTATAAAAAAACAAACCAAATAGCCAGCCCTAATTAGTATGTGCGATAGGGTTGATCGAGTTTGACAAATGGTTTGGCACGTGAAAGAAAAAGAAGCCGAATAAGTCGTCCGTTGAACAATATTTGGTTGGCTAGTTGCATGCATGGTTTGGCCTAGTTGGCCAGCGGAAGGTCGCTTAATAAGACAACGTACCGTGGTGGCAACTGGTCATCATCTTGAACTTGAACGCACCAATTAGTATAATTAAGGGTTAATATTTTCGTATGGCCTGAACTTTGACCAAAATAAACATCCTGACCAATCTTTTTGATCTATAACATCTTGGCCCGAACTATACACCAAAATAAACAATTTGGCCAGATCCGACTTTTGACCATTAACTTGGACGGTCAAACGCGTTGACCGTTAGTCAACGGGCCATGTCACTGCCAAGTCAACATAAAATATTTAAAATAATTCACAATTTGCACACATTACCTAATTTTAAATTATTATAAATTAAAAAAAATCATCTAATACCTTAGTTAAACCAAAAATAAAAAACGAAAAAAATTAAATATTTATCAGATCTTCTGACTTGGCAGTGACGAGGCAGTGACGTGGCGAGTTGACCGTTAGTCAACGCGTTTGACCATCCAAGTTAACGGTCAAACATCGGGTTTGGCCAAATTGTTTATTTTGGTGTATAGTTCGGGCCAAGATGTTATAGATCGAAAAGATTGGTCAGGATGTTTATTTTGGTCAAAGTTCAGGTCATACGAAAATATTATGGCCAGCGTACTTAAGGGGTCCAGTGGGCTGGGAGCAAGTCTACGGTAAGATCTCTACCGCCTACGCGGATCACCATCCGTTACATTAGTTCTGACGATCTCAGCCGTCCATTCAGCCTAAACTATGATCTACCTGCGTAGTTTGGCTAGCGGCTGTCCAAGTTCGGTGCTTTTTTCCTCTCCGATCTCCCTGCGTAGATGAATGCAATTTCTCCACTCCTCCCTATTTCACCAATTTCCGACCGACGACTGGCTGGCGGCTAGGTAAGTCGCCTCTCTCTTCCGACCGATTTCCGATTGTTCCCCAACCCCTTCAGCACCTCCGTCGACCCCCTGGCGGTTGAGCAAGAGAGCTGGCCGGCGAAGAGGCCTGCCCCTCCGTCAAATCCTCTTCTCTTCCCGTCCCGTTTCCCGTCCTTCTATCCGTTCGTCGATTCCTGGAGGCTATCCTCTTCTCTCTTCCGACCGATTTCCGATTGTTCCCCAAACCCTTCAGCACCTCCGTCGACCCCCTGGCGGTTGAGCAAGAGAGCTGGCCGGCGAAGAGCCCAGCATTTCACATCCCGCCGTTGACGATTCGTTAAAGCGGCGAATAGATCGATCAAATTCATCACTGTCAGAAAGCTAACAGTGAGTGGATTCTAAAATTTTCCCCGTTTCAATTTGTGTGAGTGGTTGGAAAAAGGGATTTGACCTGATTGGGGTGTTTTTTGACAGAGCAAAGCAGATGCTTTTGAGTATGCAGAGCAAGTGTTGAAGAAGGGAAGCTATTTGTGCAAGCTATTGGACAAAGCATGCTTGATGCTACTGTATAAGAGAATCTTCCAGGTAAAGTTTGTTCATTATTCCAGCAGTGGATTCTTCCCTGGAAGATTTTCCTTAGGGATTGAATCTCAAACGCTCATCCTCTCCCTTCACTGTGTTGGACGAAGTAAACATGTCTCTGTTCTATTGCTTTGTATGATGCGGTGATAACATTTGCTTAGAGAGTATGCAATCTTCTCAGTAATTCATTGAGTTTCTACCTCCATTTTGGTAGGTGGACAAGGCCAGTGATCCCATGAAAATAGAATTAGAAGCAACAAAACGCCAGGATGTTGTCTGCATATCTGCTGTGTCTGGGGATGTTTTACGAGATTTCTGTGATGCAGTGCAGGATAAATTAAAGGTTCAGAGTTAAACATAATAGTTCGTTTGGTTCCATTAATGGATTTTAGTGAGTTTATGATGCCTGTTTTCTCATCTGTGTAGGAATCTATGGACAACGGGTAACTAATCCAGGCTCATGTACCCCTTAGCATTGCAAGATTGCTGCATTGATTTTACAATCAGTGGTCCCCTATGATTTGAGCTACAGATAGGTGCATTCTCAATACTTTTATTTGTTTGACCTTGACAACACTGTTGTGTTTTCTATCTACATGAATTAAAACTTGGTCTAGATAGCTTATTATCTTTGCTTACTCTTCAGAATAAGGACGAGAGGCTTCTACCAAAAAAAAAAGAATAAGGACGAGAGGCTAGAACCTATCAGATTTGTGAAACCTTCATATAACAGGACACTAATTTACTATTCAGAATATTTTTGTTAGTTACGTTTAGAATTAATAGTCGTTATAGTTTCCTACTCAAATTGGTCCATCTATTTTAACTCTCTTTGTAGAATTAATAATATTAAATTTATTTCCTACTAATAAAAAACAATTCTTTTCCTCATCAATTACTATTTAGGAATAGTAAGAAGCACCTTCCCCGTAATCCTATAAATAAACCATGAAGCTGCAACATTGTATTCAATTCTAAGGTTTTGAAATATTCGTCCGTGTGCTTTGTCTAACATTCTTGCATTCGCCTCCTCCATCTTTTTCAACGATGTCCTCCAAAACTCCCAAAACACGAACTACAAGTTCGACGAAGCTCCTGAAGACGACAACCACTGATAGTCCAAAGGAACTCATCCATGAATTCTCTGAAAGTCCAGAGAAGCTCTTCCACCAACTCACTCTTCATGACACCGATGTGTTAATCAAGGCGCGCCTTCTGCACTCATGGCGTTCTGTTAATCCATCCAACCCTCAATATATTTACGACTTTGGAACCCTATGGGCTGATGAAACGGTAACTGTGCTTTCACAATTATTTTTGCTGGCCACATCATTCCATAATATTCACTGATTCTCTCCATGTGTATCGTTTTTTTTAGGGGATGCTTATACACGGCATTGGAAACCGAAATTTTGTTACTGAGTTTGAGCGAAAACTCACTGTTGGGTCTGTCTACAAAATTCAAAAATTCATAGTCCAGGAAGCTAAACAGATGTACCGCCCATGTCGAAGTAACTTAAGCATCTTTATCACTCCCGGTACTATGTTTGAAGATGTGACTACCTCTTTAGATTTCACTTCCGACAGCTTTGAGTTCTGTGAATTTGAAGCACTGGCAGAACGTATAGGTTCTAAGGCATTATTAACAGGTTAGATTTACTGTACTTTTTGTTTTTTGTTTTTATTTGGTATAAAGTTATTAACTATTTGCTTGGTGACAAACAGATGTTGTTGGCTGCCTTACTTCCATCAGCGAAGTTGATCACAAAACTACTTGCAATGGAGTTACCCCCCTTCAAAAATTAGTACTTGAGAACGAGAGGTATTGTTTATGACCTATATGATTGGAATACTATAATGACTTTGAGTTGTTTCCTATTCCTTAAATAGGGAATTTCTATCTATATTATTGATCTTCCCTTTGACACTATAGCTAAAACTTTCCTATTATAAAAACAGAGGTACCTCCTTATCTATTTCCTTATGGGGGGAGTTAGCATATAAACTTAGAGCTGCTGAATTGATCGAGGCTGCCAAAACATCGCCTGTCATTATTGCCATAGGTGGGCTGACTATTTCTACTTTTCGAGGTACTATCACTTGCTCTATCGAAAAAATTATGAGTTGACAAGGACTGTTTTTATGGATTTTTTATTGAATTATGCGATTTGTTTATTCATAATTAAATTCATAGCTAATGTCGACGCTTCAAGTACTTCTGCTACGCGGATAACCCTGAACCCTCAAACGCTTGAATTTGGGTACTTTAATCCATACCCAGACGATTTTGGCGACCTTATAAAAGCGTATGTGTTTTCAATCATTCTGTTATATATATTCAAAAACCATTTTATGAATTCCTGTGAACTAACAAATTACTCTTAGCAGTGCTTCCAATGCCTTAGGTGTTGTCTCTTCAATCCCTGTGACCAATGAAACACCTGAAAAAAATGCCCAACGTGCTCTGGAATCACAGCGGACAGTAACCGAACTCATTAACATGCGTGCAACCGGAGAATCACTGGTACCTATTCTTCAAAACTTTTTGATCTTTCATTGCTTTTATTCGGTGCAACAACATTAATACTTCTTATTTACATTGTAGAATGACATTTATATTTGCCAAGCAACTGTTACTGCTGTGAAATCAACAAAAACTTGGGCATATCGAGGTTGCACAAAATGCCGTCGAACCGTCACCAACTGCGGATTAAACTATTGGTGCGAAAAACACAATCAGATACCCCCTTCAGAAACACAGCAATGGTATTCTCACCTCCCATGCATATTTGTATGTCTAATTTAATAATAATAATGATGTACGATGTTTTTATTATTTCATTCAGGTACCTCACAAGACTGATTGTACAAGATGGCACTGATGAAGCAGTATTCCTTCTCATAGGAGAAACTGCTGACAAACTGCTTCGGAGAAAATGTTCTGAAGTTTATGATAGTTTTCCTCAGGGCACTGGCATTTTACCACCGGAAATTGAAACTCTTTGTGGTCTAACCTTGGAATTTCATGTCAAAATTCCAAAACAGAATTACAAGGGCGGAGAGGGAGACTTCACAATAACAAACATCATTGGGCTTCACCAACAGACTACAAAAACAGCTAAAAGGAAGCTTCAAGCTTTGGAAGCACCAAAAAGGTATGGTCCTTATCGTTTTACATAGTTTCTTTATATTAGTACTTCAAATCAAAGTCGAACTTTAGCTGCCTCTACTATTTAGAGAACCGGATTCGGCAACCACGACTGATTATATGAACCTGACTGGAGAAATGGAAAACACTCAGCATACAGAGACTCAAGTTATTGAAGAAATATCAGATTCAGGGTACGTAATATTTTTGTGTTTTTCCCATCCATAAAGTCCGTTCACTCGCCAGATTCTACATTTACTTACATCCCAACAATGTCATGCTCTATTTTCATAGGAGGACTGACATAGTCGTAGACTCGAGAAAAAAAAAGAAAAGGTAAAGAATATTTATTATCGTTCCCCTTCCATTGTATCGGTTCCATTGCATAAGACCCTTTGTAAATACTTCATATATCCATTTTTTGTAACATATAAAATACTCACCAATACTATTCAACTTGAGAATTCCGATGCAGCATTGACCTTCCACCGGCACAAGCGAAGAATGGAAACTCAACTTCTGCCTCCAGCTGTAAAAATTTGAAGAAACCCACTGCTGTGGAAATCTTCACCGATAAGATGCCCAGAAAAGAACATCCAGTGCTTGGAAAAAATGAACTTCTACAGGATTCAAGGTACGTATTTGGTACACTGCTTTCTTAAAAATGTTTCACTTCCTCACATCCATTACAATGCCATACATCTGAAAAATGTGCAGGAACAAATATGATTGTTCGAATCGAAACCAGAAGGGAAAACAGTCGAAAAAATGTCAAAAAGCCATAAACAACAGGTGCTCATTGCTAACTCTCTTCATCCCAACACAATTAAGCCCCTCCTTCTATGTCCCTATAGCATATATTGATAATAATGTCGACAGAAAAATTCATTGCTATTCCAAATTTATTTAGGCACACTGATGATGGTGCGGACACAGTGATTATGGTGAATTCAGATGACGAGAAATCATCTTCTGACAATGACTTACCTTTGTCAAAAATCTTGGGAGACAAAAAACCTCCCAAGAAAAAAAGCTCATCAGCAAACAAAGCACTTTCAAAAGAGGCGAAATGCAGGTTAGAAGACTACTGACAAGAAGCATGTTATATTATTATTACTATTTGTTAATTATATTAATTTTGGTTAAAGAACACTAACTGAATTAATCTTATGTTTCATTGTAGCATTAACTCACCCTTGGCACGAGTTAAGAAGGAAAAACTTGAGGTAGCCTCTAAGTCAACATCGACCACACCAAAGTCCACTACCTCGCCTGCTGTTGCTGAAGTACCTGGGAAACGCATGCGACAACCGACAAAGAAATATTGTCGTTAAGAAGATCACTTGGACTAGAAAAACCATTTATTTATTGGCTAAACTAGATTAAGTAACTCTGTTTGCGTAAACATCATTTGGGGTATATGGATGCAGCATAACTATATTTTCGGTATTTGGGAGGACACCTTTTATGTTATAGCCCTTCTTTATTCTCTATCACTTTGGACGTAATTTAGTTCTTATTAATCAATTCAGTTTTGGTTCTATACCATATTCATTGACTGAACATTTCAGTATCCCTCTTGAACTACACAAAGCAGGTTATCGAATACCAGACTGACTGAAAAATGGTCTATCTCTCTTCAATTACACAAGGCAGGTTGCCCAAACACTAAATAGATTAAAAGCTCCATTGATGAAATTGTTGAAGTAATTATTCTTTAAAGTATACACTTGCATACAAATTGTGAACACCGATTCTACCTACAATAAATCGTGTCACAGATAAAGGTTCTTCATTCTCTCACACTACCACACACAAAAATTAACTAGAGGATGAGTTTAAACTGGAGGCCACCATGGATCCTTCCGTCCGGTCGATTGTTTCCCAGGTACCATGTTCCATCACTGTCTGCCGGTTTGACTCTATCTCAACAAAATCCGCCGATCCTCTTTTCTTCTTCACCGTTCAATTGCCGCTTGAATGCAGGCTTCATAGATGGGAACGATTATGAATGTTCAATCTTTAAACAAAGCCTCTGAATCCGTGTAATAAACGCCTAAGAACATGCTGTGCAGCCGCAATTGGACCCTTCCCTTTTCTCCCGCTCTGTCGACCGCCAAGCGGTTATACAACCGACAAAGCCCATTTCTCCCCGCCGCGCGATACACAGTATTCTCAAGCTCTGAACGTCCGTTGACGAAACGCTTTCACTGCATCTTTCCCCAGCTTCGGAGAAAACAAAAAAACAAATCAAACTCCGAAAAGGAAACAACTACCGATCACCTACCTCCATTCCTTTACAACATGTTATTATAAAATTATTAACTATCATACTACCATAATTCAACTCTTACAAGGAATACGGATTCAGTCATCTGTAAGTAAAAGGAAAAGCAGGTAAAACAACACCAATCAAAACCTATAAATATATAACAAACAAATGGTTTTCGCATCAGAAAAATCAACCCACCATATTACAACAACTCGAAGAAACAGAGCAGGATTGGGAAGACTCGCCCGTGGATTAATCATCAATTTATTCTCGGTAAGAAGAGATACCTCCATAATTATCTTCACCAACCAAATTGGGGTTTCAATTAATCTTTTCGATACACCAACTCTCCTAATATATTTACAGCCTGGCCGTGAGACACCATGGAAAGAGAAGAGCCACCACTGCATCAACATCTGTCATTGTACAAACGAAAGGAAAGAGGAAGTCAGAGTAAGAAACCAGAGGATTCAAGGCTACCACCCAAACGACGAAAAACAGGGATCGACAGGCGATCCAAAAAGCTAGCCACCGCTAACTTCAACCCTTTCAGACAGCCTTTCTCAACTGAGACCTATACCAGCAACACAACATTAACAGCTGAAGATAGACCCCAAACCCAAATTCAACCACAGGTTCAAGAAACAACAGACCAGAATTCACAACCAACAACTCAAACACAAACCGAGGAAAATACAGCAGATGTTCAACAACCCCAAATACCGACTACTGTACAAAGGTTTGATAACAGTATCCTAGATTTGGGATTACCAACCTTAGCTTGCACACACTGTGGTGCGAGGTTTTGGCCACAAGAGCAACTGAACTACAATAGGCCAACCACCACACCGATTTATACATTGTGCTGCCAGCAAGGAAGGATACGCTTGCCACTTCTAAAACCAACACCACCATTTATGGACAAGCTACTGGATGTGAATGGTGATTCAATGGCCACTCACTTTGCAAAACACCGACGTCCGTATAATGCCGCCTTCTCATTCACATCAATGGGTGCAAAAATTGATCAACGACTGCTGAATTCCAGAGGGCCATATTCGATGGTAATATGCGGGGAGAACTATCACCTTATTGGTTCGTTGCTGCCACCTAATGGACAAAGACCCAAGTTTGCACAGTTATACATGTTTGATCCCGCCACAGAAGTTCAAGATCGGATGGCGAACTTTTCAAGCAACGAGGATGTTCTGAAGCCAGAGATAGTTTCAGGGTTAATGGAAACGTTGAACGAAACAAATGAGTTGGTCAAAAGCTTCCGACGAGTACGAGACCACCTACAAAATCCAGCAAACCAAAACCTGCGGCTCAGAATTGTTGGTGCTAGAGTGAAGAATGGAGAACAGTATGAACTACCTACTGGACAGGAGATAGCTGGCTTAATCCCGGGAGATTTTCAACCAGACAATAATGACAGAGACATAATCGTTCTACACAGGAGCGAGGGGCTACGTCGTATAAACAGTCTCAACCCCAAATTCGACGCTCTACACTTTCCATTGTTGTTTCCATATGGAGAAGATGGTTTTCACACAGGAATATATTATAATGAACAGTCAAACAGACCATCAAGACAGAGAAAATGCATAACTCAACGAGAGTACTACTCCTTTCGTCTCCAACATCGTGACAACGAGGGCTCTACCCTAATGAGAGGCGGGAAAGTTCTACAACATTATATCATAGATGCATTCTCCACGATCGAACAGAACCGCCTTATATTCCTCAGGCAAAATCAGGAACAACTACGATCTGAAATCTTCCAAGGATTGTATGATGCTTACAAAGCAGGCAAAGAAACAGGAAAAGATCTAGGAAGGATAATATTACCAGCATCGTACACAGGGGGCCCACGATATATGAAAAACCTATACCTCGATGCAATGGCAATGCCAAAATTTCGGCAATCCTGATCTATTTATTACATTCACTTGCAATGCCCAGTGGCCAGAAATCGTAAATGCATTCGCAGAGACTGTTGGGAAACGAAGTGAAGACAAGACGCAAATTGTGGCTCGAGTATTCAGAATGAAGTTAAAAGCCTTGAAGGATCGCATCATAAAGGAAAAATATTTCGGCCAAACCGTGGCAGGTAATACATATTTCATCAATCTTCAGTACAAATTTAGACTTATTTTGTTGATACCTCTTCGTCAGATCTCAGAAGTACTACTTATGCATATAACAAACTATGATAGCATTATAGTAATTTCTTCAAGTCATAGTCCGAACCAACTTTCTCACCTGTTCAACTTTCCAAAAGCATATGCAATTTTAAACTTCTTAGAAACGTCCATATACAACAACACACTAATATAATAACTACTTCTTGCCGAAAATCATATTCATTCTTCACCAACCTACATCAATTAACGTCATTCTGTATTTGCAGATCTCCACACTATAGAATTCCAGAAGCGAGGACTACCGCATGTGCACATTCTTATATGGCTAGATGATTCTGATAAACAGAAAGACATTGCAGCAATAGATTCAATTATAAGTAGTGAGATACCTGATCAAAATATAGATCCAGAGGGATACGAAGCGGTAACACGATTCATGATGCATGGACCATGTGGGCAATCAAATACATCTGCACCTTGCATGATAGATGGTCGCTGCTCAAAGCATTTCCCAAAACCTTTTAATTCAGAGACTACATATGATCAGTTTGGATACATCGTCTACAAAAGGAGGGATACATGAATACATGTCGAAAAGGGCAGGACAAAGCTTGACAACAGGCATGTTGTGCCGTACAACAGAGACCTTTTGGTGTGGTTGCAGGCACATATTAATGTGGAAATTTGCCACAAAGGAAGACTGATAAAATATCTGTTCAAATATCTCACAAAGGGACATGACAGATCTATGGTAGAAGCAACAAACAGAGCATCAACATCACCAGAGAAACAAGAGCCGGTGGATGAAATAGCACAGTATTTGGATTGCCGATATCTCTCATCATATGAAGCAGCTTGGAGAATTTATGAATTTCCTATACATGAGAGAACACCAGCAGTTCTCAGATTGTGTGTGCATCTCCCCAATAAGCACACAGTTCCTTATAACGAGGATGAACCACTAGAAAATGTGCTGCAGAGGCGGAGAGTCAATCACACCATGCTAACTCAGTGGTTCAAGCTTAACAGAACAAATCCAACTGCCAGGACACTCACCTATCGAGAAACACCAAATAAGTTTGTATGGGATCCGAAACAAGCAGATTGGTTTCCGAGAAAGCGAGGATTTCAGATTGGCAGAATAGTGTCTGTTCCGCCTGGAACAGATGCCGTATATTTGAGGATGCTACTAACGAAAGTACGAGGTGCTTTAAGTTTTGAACACCTCCGGACTGTGAATGGTGTATGTTATAGCACATTTAAGAAGGCATGCCAAAAGATGGGATTGCTATCCACGGATGAGGAGTGGATATTAGTGCTAGAAGAAGTTTGTCGATGGGGACAACCATCTTTGATAAGGACTACCTTTACTTCACTCCTCATGTTTTGTGAGATTACAGAACCTCACTCTCTGTTTGATAAATTCTGGGAAGAAATGGCAGATGATATAGCATATCGAGCTAGACTTCAAAATTCTTCCAGGTACTTTGTCCCGCCATCAAGTTCCTTGAGAAACTCTGTACTTATAGAGCTGCAAAGACTTCTGAGCTATTATTCTACTACACTGCAAAATGTCGGTCTGCCGACTCCACAGTTGGATGACTCAGATAGGCTGCAAAATAGTCTAATTGCAGAGCAACTTGACTATGACATTAACGAACAAAGAAGAATAGCAGAGACAGGTTTGGCGTCACTTAATGAAAATCAAAGATATGCATATGATGTTGTAATCGACTCAGTCTGCAACGAGAAAGGATCTTTGTTCTTCTTATATGGATATGGAGGAACGGGAAAGACATTCCTATATGATACCCTCACTGCAAAGTTGAGAAGTATGAACAAAATCGTCCTGGTAGTTGCGTCCTCGGGAATAGCTGCAACACTACTACCTGATGCAATAACAGCACATTCGAGATTTAAAATTCCACTAGAGATCGACAGAACTTCGACTTGCATGATTAAGAAGGGATCACATCTTGCTCAACTAATCAAGGAAGCAGCACTCATAGTTTGGGATGAAGCTCCAATGACCCATCGATTCTCTTTCGAGGCAGTGGATAGATCATTTTGCGACGTCATGAATTGCCCAATAAGTGGAGATGGCTACAAGCCATTCGGAGGAAAGTGTGTACTTCTAGGAGGTGATTTCAGACAAACATTACCAGTTGTAGTTGAGGGCGGCCGTGAAGAAAGTATCGATTCTTCTTTAACAAGATCGCATCTTTGGAAATATTTCAAGGTATTACCCTTGACAGTCAACATGCGCATCAACGCAACCCTCAACAACCTACAACGCATTTATGATGGCAAGGATTTTGCAAGCTGGGTTCTAGCTATTGGAGATGGAAGGATAAAGCGCACAACATTCACGTCATCTGTTTACACCGATTGGATAAAAATCCCAGATAAGTTCATCATCCCACATATAGGAAACAAGATTCAAGCAATTACTGATACTGTCTATAATGATTTTGGTTCTTACTATGACAATCCCAATTACATTAAGAATCGAGCTATAGTGACGCCGACAAATCGCACGGTTTCAGAGATAAATGCATATATGTTGGCTAAAGTAAGGAGACAAGGAAAATTGTTCTATAGTTCTGATTCAATTGAGGACGACTCACCAAACAGTATAAGGCTTGAAGAAGAATATCCAACTGAGTTCTTAAATGGATTATCCTTCAACGGTGTGCCAGAACATGAGATACATTTGAAGGTCTCAACTCCGATCATCCTGCTTCGAAATTTGAATCCAGGTATTGGGCTGTGTAATGGGACAAGGATCATGATTACACATTTGGGAGAAAATATTATTCGAGGTGATATCATTGGAGGAAAGTACGACAAGAAAACAGTTATCATACCGAGGATTGTGCTTAACGTTACCGAACATCGATGGCCATTTGTCTTGAAGAGGAGACAATTTCCAGTAAGGGTCTGCTATGCAATGACAATCAACAAGAGCCAAGGACAAACTCTGGATACAGTTGGGGTTTACTTGCCTAAGCCGGTGTTTAGTCATGGTCAGCTATATGTCGCAGTTTCACGAGTTCGATCGGCTGACGGATTGCATATACTGATTGACAATGAAGCAGAAATTCCGCATAACTTCACAAGAAATATTGTATACGAAGAAACTTTTACAGATATAGATGAGAGAACTCAAGCACCGACTGGTAATCACCTCACTATCAAGACTAACTTCATTTAATCCAAAAAAATTCTTATTTTCTCAACGTAAACAAGTCTACTAACCAATGAAATTCTCATTTTTATAGGGGAAAGGGACATTGAATGAACACAAGGTGGATAATACGCTCCGGCCCAGTTATATTAACAATCTTGGTACAAACTGTAAGTGAATTTTTACACTACATCTTATCTATTAAAAGATACCGGAATAATTAAGCTTTGTTGGGTATGTGATTTATTGCAGGAAGGACATGAGGCAGGATCGGCTAAGATAATGAACCAACGAAAATTAAGACGCCCGGGAGAAGAAGATCATCAAGTCCTACTCGCCTATGTACTCTATAGCTACAATAATTTCTATTAAGTCAAACAATACGAAACCGATTTATATTCAGCAATATACCGCGGCAACGCGCGGGCTATTTCTTCTATTAAGCCAAACAATATGAATCCGAATTATATTCTCCAATATACCGCGGCAACGCGCGGGCCATTTTTCTAGTATTCTTTATTCCTCGTGATTATTAATTATTTAGGCGTTGAAGTCGATATGTTTATATGCTTATCCTTGCTGGCCTTGTCTTATATTTTGATCCACAAATTAACACCGTAACAAGAACCGAATTTTCAGAGGAACCTTATATACAAATTTGAGAGGGATTGTAGCTCCTTCTGAACTATACATATAGCTCCGTCGTCACTGAAGTTGGATTAAAAATTCGTTGGAGTACTGGAAATGAACGACGTTTTCCAAAATATTTAATAGTTTAGTTTAATCATAAAAAAAAAAAATGTATTGCCTCAGTCAAAACAACCCATATGTTTCTATCTGTTTTTTTCCGCCTTATATAGATGCAAGTGGGATTAGTATGAACCAAAAAGTCAGCAACATCACACATTTTCATAACATTCCATTGTCTACAAATTCCCAATTAGGTGCAGTACTTTCACTGCCTTCTTCTTCTATATTACCGCTTGTTCACATTCACACATGGCCGCGTTCACATGCTGATCAAATGGTAGCTAATAGCCCTCTGCAAAACTCGGCATAACGTAATGCTATCAATAAGTACGTATAAACATCGATTGACGAAAATTTACATTAAAACTATAAAAAATATATATATTCCTTGATATGATAAATAAATCTGGAAAAGAAACCATCGAAAATTCGAAATCTTCCCTCCTACAAACGTAAATAAAAAGTAAACAGCCCTACGAAAAGAACTTGTATGTTTTAGCAGACTCGATTATATTTCGCATTCCTCCAATCGGTGCAAGAATCGCTATCGTAACCCCGACCACGATCGTAACCTGCACACCGTGAATGCGATGGATCATCTAAACGTGTTTTACTGAACAAAAGCATAGCCCTAGAACTAGAAGCATCCCTCAATTTTCAATGGAGGATTTACTTTCACAACATTTTGAAGCGATTACCCATCAAACTTACCCAGGATGCGAACCAGTGCCAGCTCCCAACCGGTGGGTGATGCACACGAAGCCACATGATGCAAGGAAGCTTCAAATTAACAGAATACAGGAAAGAAAACAAAAAACCAATCAGATATAATAAACTGATAATTAAATCGTCAATAATCACAGTAATAATTAGAAACTAATTAACTTACAAAATACGAAGTAGAAGCAAACACAAGCCCACCAAAGAATCCCATCAAGCCGCCGAAAAACGGGATGCACATTGCAACCAGCGCCGTCAAAGCTGTCCACATAATTCCGCACGTTCAAATAACTGGAGAGAATCCTCGATCGCCATGCATGCAAAAAACAACGTCACAAGCTACGTACCTACGTAGACGCTACGTGCAATCAAACGAAGCGCTCGACTCGGGTCGAACTTTCGATTCTTCACCAAATACCCTTCCAACGTGTCGAAAACCGGCATCCCATAAACCTGATAACTCCCAATCACGTGAATAAACACCATGAAGTTGGCGGCGGCGATGAGCCAGACAGGGCGTTCGAGCGAGATCAGGATGTTGTCGTCGACGTTGTTCCCGTAAGCCCAGTACCCGGAAGCGGCGACGGGGAAGTAGCAGAGGAAGACGATGACGTAGGCGCCGATGACGCCTTTCCACATGGGCTTTTTGGACGGCTTCTCGGGAGTCGAAGGGATGGTGGCCTGAATCTCGAGGACGACGTTGTGGCCGGCGTAGGCGAACGCTATCTCGCCGATCCCGTTCAGGGCTTCGAAGATGATCCCCGCCGTCGTGTGGGCCCGCAGCCCGTACTCCGCCGGCGGGCCGACTCTTTTGGTCCCGTGGATGGTTGATGCCACGAATGATATCATTGAGTAACTGCACGCGAGAATCTAGTAATTAATTATCATCTTTTCTATTCACAAGATTAATTACAAGCAAGTACATTCGTCTAAGGTGAAACTAGACCAAGTCCAGAGTTGACCCTATAATTATCCTAAAAAACTAGTGGTTTATAGGGTCAAGCTACAAATCTGGTCCGACCCTATTTTTTCTTGATCGTGTCTCAGTCTTACCAATGTTTATCGGGTAGGTCTGAGCAGGGGCGGAGCCAGGATTCGAGCTTCGGGGGGCCGAAAATTTTTATTCGTATTACCGTAAGAGGCAAAAAACACAAAAATATAATTCCAACTTTAAAAAGAGTACTTTTAATCATCAAAATTGCCCAAGACACTTTTTTAAGACAATTAGATTTACTTCAAACACGATTTAAGACGAATAAATTATCATGTCATTTTGACTATAAATGAGTTAATTACCAACAAAATTAATAATACATTCCAATACCTAACATGTTATTATAGCTGAAAAATCAATGTGTACAATCTATTACAAGAAAAAATTTACTCATTGTATATTCAAAATAGTCCTTAAAACATGTAATGCAAAGTTTACACAATTTTCTAGAGCTAAAAATGAAAAGAGAAAAAAACTCATTATATATATTCAAAAGAGTCCTTAAAACGTGGAATGCAATCTTGAAGAACTTAATTGATTTTAAGTAAAAGATATGAAAACTAGATAATTATATTGAATTTTCATGCCAAGTACAAGTAGAAAACAAAAAAGGTTAAATATGTCTGTCATGAGCATCGAACCAGCATTCCTCTAATTTTAATGAGCATGTCCTTCCGTTAGGTTGCACTAGCAAATGTGTTATGATTAGCGACTACTATTTTATGTTTTACTTTCTGTTTATACGTAATTTTCAAAAATCACGAACAACTTACACGTAACTTTCGAAATTCTCGGGGGGGCCGGGGCCCCCCGAACCATAGTGTAGATCCGCCCCTGGGTCTGAGTCAGCGAACCAGCTAAAATGATCTATTGATATTTGGAAAGTTATATTTTCGTATCCAAATTCATTTTTTCTTACAATTTTGTACCTAATTTTATCTTTTTTATAAATAGATCCAGGAATTTTGACGACTAAATTAGTACCTTTTTATTTTTTTAATTGCATTATAATAGCTGACTTTACAAGTATGTCCAATCTTTTGATAAGAAGAATTTCAAATCACTAGTTGTTGCTATGACGATAGGATTAAAAGTGACCCGATGCTAAGTTGATCCGACTCTACCCAACTCTTACAAAACCAAAAGATGACCTAACCCTAAACGAGCCATGTAGACAAAATGACTCAACCCGACCCTCACGATCAGATCGAACCGGACTAGTGTATATCTAGGGTCAGACTTACACCCCTAATTCGTACCTGAGCGACATGACCGCGGCGAGGAAGGAGACAAGCTTGAGCGAGTGAAAGTTGGGAGTCTGGGAGAGGACGAGCTGGATGAAACAGAACACGAGGATGAAGTAGGTCAACCTGTGGTGGTCGGCCGACGGGAAGGTGAGCTCGAAGGCCTTCTTCAGCGACTTCCCTCCGGTGACCATTTGCACCAAGTTGGAAGCCACCTGAACGATCAACTGCTGTGGGACCACGATCCAATACCCTAGCTTCTCCCCGAAGGCATACTGGCCCAATTCGTGGTACCGGTCGAACCGCTTCCCCGGAACCATCTCGTGCATCTCGATCATTTGCCACAGCGAGTAGAAAGTAAGCAGCCATGAAATCACCATCATCGTCATTCCGCCGATCCTATACGGTCAACCACATTGAAACGTGTTTTTTTTAATGTTACTGTAGAATATTGTACAAATCAGTAGTACTGTTGAGGTTTTTGTTTTTTTTTTTCGTACGTACGTACCAGCCTAGTTGAGACATTGCAAAGGGTAGCGCTAGAACTCCGGTACCGACCATGGCGGTCACGTTGTGGACAGTGGACGACCACCATTTCGCCTTCCTTGAAGCAGTGATGGGAAGCCAGTTACTCAAATCCCTCTCTTGCCCGCTCGAGCCCGAATCGTTCGTAGGAACCGGTCCCGGTTCCTATATAAGAGGTTCAGTTATGAATCATATATCAATTAGTCAAGAATCAATTGATGACACAAGAATCAATTGATCTCGATATATAATTCGAACTGTCGAGAGATGTTCAGTTATAAATCGTAGTATATCATTTGTGAAGGTGAGGGAACTCACGGGTTGCGACGTCGAATTATTCTGGTTGCTCATGGGATCAATCTTGCTTCTGGAACTCGACTACTGATCGATGAATTACCTGGTAAATTAAATACACGTATACCACGGCCACTATATAGATAGGGATTGAAAGGAAGAACAAAACTAGGTGATTGGGAATTCTGTAGAGATGGCGGGACGAGGGTTCTGGAAAGGATTCCTATGAAGCAAACAAGTGAAGATCATGCCCATGCTTTGTGTTGTTTTCGAGTTCGTGTTGGAGGCGATGTGTATTGTTGATTTGCGGTGGATTTGGGTTTGTACATATGCACAGAGAGGAACAGAGAGGAAGAGAGATAGACACAAAGAGAAATGAAGAGAAAGTTACTGATTCAGATTCATTGAGAAGAAAGCATCATGTATGATCTGTTTGATCCCTGTAATCATTGGAAAAGAAAGAATCAGATTCATAGAAAAGTAAGGATCCAAAAAGATTGAACTTTGAATAAGTCTAGAAACTAGAGGTTATCCGTACCACATTATGAGGGACAATTCAGTTAAAGCAGATAAAGGAGGAGTGGCTGTTGGTTGCTGATCATTTACTTTTGGGTTGTTTTTTTTTTTATGGACAATTTATCTTGGTTGTTAATCATTATCGGTTTATGAGTATGTTAATTACTGACAGCCACTCGTATATGTTAATTACTGACATTCCCCATCCCTGTCCGACCTTCTTCCCCGAGGAGGACGTTTTAAATCCTGCTTCTCCCCCCTTCGATCTGGATAGCCTGACCAATTGTAGCAAGCAAATGTGTAATCTTTTCCGACTAAAGATTGACGGAGGCATGAGCAACGATGTAGATGAGCAGGTTCAAAAGATTGCTTCAACCACATTTGAACGAAAGAAGCGTACTCCCCGCTCGAGAACGGAAATGGAGATCCGCCGCCTTGGCCCGGTTGTTGAGCCTGTTGTGGGGCCGAGAAATAGGAAGAGAAAAGGTTTGGACTCAAGTTCAGGTATTCATCATGGTTAATTCTATAATCGCTTGGAATGTTCGTGGTTTGGGCTGTGACCGGAAAAGATCCCGGATTAAGAGAATTCTGCGTAGGAAGAAACCTTCTATTGTTGGTCTTACTGAAACTAAGTGGGACTCGTGTGATCAAGTGCTGGTGAACTCGGTAAGTGGTAGCAGAAGCTCTGAATGGGTAGCCAAGAATGCCATAGACAGCAAAGGTGGCATCGTCATCTATTGGGAACTTGGGACCTTCAAAAAGATTGATGACCAGCTGGGTGAGTTCTGGCTTTTGGTAACTCTGGAAGACAGCCAGAGTAAAAATGTGTTTTGCATCATCGTCGTCTATGGACCTCAGGACAATAGGGATAAGGAAAGATTTATTTCTGATCTCAATGCTCTTTGTCAGAGAATTACAGTTCCCCTTTGTGTGATTGGTGATTTTAACCTCGTGCGTTCTCATGAGGACTTTCGTGGTGGCCCGAGAAATTTGGAGTTGATGAGTGAGTTCAACTCATTCATTAATGATTCTTCTCTCATTGACCTTCCCATGGTTGGAGCGTCGTTTACCTGGAGTAACGGGAGGGCTTCCCCATCTTTGTCTAGGATTGATCGATGCCTCATTTGTACTCAGTTTGAGTCTATCTTCCATAATTGCAGACTCAATGCCCTTGAGAGAGTGGAGTCTGACCACAACCCGTTACAGCTTCTGTGGGGTGAGGAAGATAGAGTGCACCGGCCCTGGAAGTTCGAAAACATGTGGCTTCTCGCAGACTCTTTTAGTGAACACATGATCGATTGGTGGAATTTTAGACCTGCTGGGAGTGGTGATCTTTTCCTGGTAGGACAGAAACTTAAGCAGTTGAAGAGCTTAATCAAAACCTGGAACAAAGAGGAGTTTGGCAGGGTTGATAAGAAGATTAATGAAATCTTGGAACAAATTAAAGTGATTGACTGCAAGGAGGAGGAAGGCTCTATCTCTGATGAGGAAAGGTTGGAAAGAAGCAACTTAGCAAACAGCTTGGATCATGTTCTGTTTCTTGAGGAAATATCGTGGCGCCAAAAATCTAGAGAAATTTGGCTCAAGATAGGCGACAAAAACACAGGTTACTTCCACAGGGTTGCGAACTATAATAGAAGGAGGAATATTGTGACTAGTATCAAGGTCAATGGTGTCGCGACTGAAGGGATTGACGATCTGAAAAATGCTGTTGTGGGTCACTTTTCAGCTGGTTACTGCGAAGAACAGCAGCGACGCCCTTTTCCAGATCAGTATGGCAGCCTTGAAATTTCTGATGAAGATGTTCAGATGCTCACAAGACCTTTTTCTGAAGAAGAAGTCTGGAAGATAATCAGGCGCTGCAAAGGGGACAAATCTCCGGGTCCCGATGGGTTCTCGTTGGCCTTCTTTAAGAGTCAATGGGATGTGATCAAGGATGATGTGATGAAAGGTTTCCTGGACTTCTTTTGCAACGGCAGAGTTCCAAAATCCATTGCTCACTCCTTCGTATGCCTTATCCCCAAAAAAGAGGCTGTCGAAGACATTAAGGACTTTCGCCCTATCAGCCTCCTTGGTAGTATCAACAAATTGATCTCTAAGACCATCACTGAGCGTCTTCGCCCTATCCTGTTGAAAGCCATCTCCGGAAATCAGTTTGGGGGCCTCAAAGGTCGGCAGATCCATGAGGCTTCTTTAATCGCCAATGAACTCATTGATAGCAGGAAGAAGAGTGGCAAGCCGGGATTAGTGTTCAAATTGGATATCGAGAAGGCCTTCGACAATGTTAACTGGAACTGTCTCTTCAAGATCCTTGAGAGCCTGAAATTCCCCCAGAAGGTGATAAATTGGATTAAAGGCCTGGTGACTTCTCCTATCCTGTCTGTTCTTGTTAATGGGGAAGCTTCTGGGTTTTTTAAAATCCAAAAAGGACTTCGCCAAGGGGATCCAATGTCGCCTTTCCTCTTCTTGCTTGTCATGGATGTCCTTTCTGTGATGTTGGAGACGCTGAGACACGAGGGCCTTATCTCGGGCTTTTTCATGAACGAAGCGAACTCAAGCGGTGAAGTTACCCACCTTCTCTATGCCGATGACACTATTATATTCTGTGATGCGGATAAAGATCAAGTCCTCAATCTCCTCTCAACTCTTGTGTGCTTTCAAGCTGTTACCGGCCTCAGAATCAACGTCGAGAAATGCATGATGTTTCCGGTGGGAAGCGTCATCAATCCTGAAGTCTATGCTGGAATCTTTGGTTGCGGGTGGAGCTTCTTGCCAACTATTTACCTGGGGGCCCCCCTGGGGGCCAGCCCCAATTCCAAATCAATTTGGAATAATGTTCTTGCTCGTTTTCAATCAAGACTGGACGGATGGAGAGGGAAATTCTTGTCTCTCGGCGGCCGAATTATCTTATGCAAAAGTTGTCTTTCGAGCCAGCCATTGTATTTGTTCTCTCTGCTGAGAGCCCCAAAAGCTACGATCAATAGGTTGGAAAGAATGCAATGCAATTTTATTTGGTCTGGGGTCCAAGACAAGAATAAGCTTCATCTCATTCGGTGGGACAGTTGTAAGGCTTCCAAAAGCAGAGGCGGGCTGGGTATTCTCGATCTCAAATGTATGAATTCTGCTCTCCTTGCAAAATGGTTCTGGAAATATGCTGTTGATCAGTCCGCGTGGTGGCGTATGATGATTGACTGCAAGTTCCCTCCCTCCCTCTCTGATTGGAGGCCCGGTTCGAGTGGCGGTCCCATTGGTTGTTCCTTGTGGAAGAGTATTTTAAAAGAAGAAAACCTGTTCTGGAATTATGCTTCTATTAATCCAGGTGGAGGCGGTTGGGTTTCATTTTGGAACGACTGTTGGATACCGAAAATGATTCTGAAGGATTCCTTTCCCAGGGTTGCGGCGGCCTCCTCAAACCTTGACGTCTGGGTATCTGAAGTTATATCCTTTGATAATGAGAGTGTGGGGTGGGAGTTACCTTTAGCTTATTCTTTAAGGGGAGGGGCAGACCGCGAGAGAGAGAGTCTTATTCGTTCCTTATCACTGTTACCTTCTGATCTGATTACTGCAGGACCTGCCACAATTAATTGGAGCCTCTGCCCAAAAGGTTTCTCGGTGAATTCCATGTACCAAGCCCTCAACCAGGAGAGATTTCCGGGCAGCGACAGTTTCCCGTTCAGAACCGTGTGGCGATCCGAGGTTCCAATGAAGGTGAAAGCCTTTCTCTGGCTTGTCACGCATGAGCGCATCCTTACGCATGACAACTTAAAGAGGAGAGGTTGGAATCTGGCCAGCAGATGTGCTCTCTGCAACTCGGAGGAGGAGAACATCGACCACCTGTTCCGTCATTGCTCCTTCTCTAGCAAAATTTGGTCCATCCTCCAGCTGATGATTGAGTTCCACGGACCCTTTCCCGACCGTTTCGTGTTGCTCATCAGGTGTTGGAGTCGTTGCAGCCAAACCCAATGGAAGAATGACTTTGCATCTGGTCTCTTACATGCCTTCTCCTGGGAGATATGGAAGGAGAGGAATGCCAGGATTTTCCACGATAAATCGTCCCATTGGCGCGTGATCCTTCATAAGATTTGCAGAGTTCTTTTGAGTTGGGTTAGGGCAGCTGGAATTTTGAATGATGATCGCCGGACAGAGTGGCTTGCTCTTATGCATCAGTGTTGCCCGCTCCCTTTCGTTGGAAATTCTAGTCTTGAAGCTGGTTCCTAGGCCTTCCGGTTGCCGGCGTGTTGGGAGTGCTGGTTTCTTCTGTCTTCTTTCTTGTCCTTTTTGCTTCCCCTTCCTGCAGAAGCGGTCTGGTCCGCTGAGCAGGTTTTGGTTTTTGTTGCTTTCGGATCAATTCTCTTGATCCTCCTTGTATCAAACTCTTCGTTTCTTTTAATTTTTAATCATCACCTTTATCAAAAAAAAAATAATTAAATCGGATGTTGAATTAAAAAAAATTTAGTGTTTTAATGATAGAGTTCCATCTGCTAATTAATCCAGTTCAGTTTTTATAATTATGCTAGTACGAATAGCTAGCAAGTGTGTGGTTAGTTTAATTACTCATAGTACCAAGGAAATCGTTAAAAAAATCAAGTACATGGCACAAAGCAACCAAAAACGGAAATAAAACCTTACTAAAGAAAGTGTACAAGAAAATGTTTCTTCTTGCCACGAAATACACACACCTATATTAAAGGACTTTAACACACTTATTCATCACTATCATGAAACTTCATTATTCGTGATATTTCACGTTGCACAAACTATATAACAAGCAAAGTACTCCACACACGTCGAATTCCACAATACGTAAATTACATGCATTCCAATTTCCACGTCATGCCACACCATTCCTCCTCCATCATCACAATCAATTACTACGAAACTCAATCGAGACGCCATCAATGTTAGCACCCCCAAACCTAGGCACCAAAGTGACCATAATGCTATCATCGCCCTCAAGCTCCAACTGCTCCAACAAATCATTCACACCCAACCTCAACCAACTCTTGAACTTGGTCCCTTCATCTCCCTTGTGCCCGTGCGGCACATTCACAAAGCACCCACCAAGCTTCGCACTCACGGGTGTCACCTCCTCGTCGTCGTCGATGTTCACGCACACATCGAACTTCACGAAATCCTGAGTATCGTACTCGATCCCTTCGACCACCAGAACCTCCTCCTCCTTCTCCTTCTCCTCTTTGCTCCTCGACTTCCTCGTCCTCTTCACCTCCACTTTCATCCTGTTGCTGCCCAGGGCAGCAGGAAACGACGTCGTGGGTTCAATGATGGTCGTAACCGGTTGGTCGGTCGTCTTTCTTGCAGTAGTGGGTGGCAGCTGTGGCTTGGAGTTCACCCAGGGGTTGCCCACGTCCTGGTACACGTACCCCATATTCCTCCTGTTGTCCAGACAGTCCCGAACCCTAACCCTGACCGGTTCGGCGTTCTCGTCGTAGAAGAAGAACGACGCGTCCAGCCAGTCGCGGCTGCTGAAGTCACCCCTCATTCCTCCGAACGCCCTCCACACGTTCCACACGCGGTCGATGTTCGCGTGGTGGGCGAAGAAGATCGGGTCCCTGGCCGCCGAGTAGAAATCACCCATGTCCTCTCCATTCGGCTGGCTCGGGTCACCGGTCCATAAGTGAACCGGTCCGTGCGGGGTCGACTCGAACGAACCGGGTCCCGGGTTTGGTTCGTCCTCGGTTCGGTACGGGCTCCCGAGGAACAGTGTGGGCGTCTTGCCGTTGGACACCACTTGTCTGTACATGATGGTGAGGTTTCTCGTGATTTGGTCCTTGGCCGGGATGGTGACGTCCTCGCCGCTGTAGTCGAGGTCGATCAGGGTCGGCGGCTGGTGGTTCGGGTTACGGAGCGGGTCGTAGAGCGGGGATTTCGGGTCGGCGTAGATGGCCGGGATTTGCATCCCGCCGGCTGGGTTGTCCCAGTTCCAAAACGGCAGCGCGAAGGTGGGGTCGCCGATCAACTTCCCCAAGATCTTCTCGTAAAAGTAGAGATAGTACCTAACAATTATCATAAAGTAATTGAGGTTATAGTTATGGAAAAGGTTTGGTGGCACTTAAAAGCCACAACACTAATTTTGTGTTTATTTACGTCAATTTATGCTAATTACGTAATAGTGGTGGTTACTCACACAAACAGTAATGGTTATTTATGCAATTCGACGTTTATTCACGTCATTATAAAATCAATTTGAAAATTCATATAAAAAAATTGAAAATCCAAATTTAATTCCACAATATGGGCCAACTAGAGAAAAGAAAAAGTTTGAGTTTCCATTTGCGTGAATAATCAGAACTCTTACGTACGTGAACAATCACCAAATGACGAAAATGAACAAAAAAATGCGCAAATTAGGTGTTGTGCAATGGAGGAGGTAGGTTAAAAAAAAAAGAGTAGTCCGTAACGCCTTAGCTCCCTCCACCAATTATCACGATTCAATTCAGCCCCGATTCCTGCTCCGCCACTCGTGTTGTGGCACCTAAAGTTTTCCTAGATTTATTTGCTTACAATTCATGACATGGTTTGTTATTGACTAATCTGTTATTCAAATGTACCTGTGCCAAGGAAAGAAGAGCCAGGAGTTGTGAACTTGGATTTCCAGCTCCGGGAACCCTACTTGCTCGTACGCGCCGTCGCAGTACGCGCAGTGCACGTTCGCCTGCTGCATGAAGTTCCTGGGGTCGTCGGCGGGGAGAGCCTTCATCAGCGCGACGGCTCTCTCGTACTTGGCAACGTAGGCCTTGTCGACGAGGTGAGCCGCCGGCCTGAAGCGTGGCGGCAGGAAGGTGGGAGCGGAAGGAACGAAGTCCTTGTAGCGCGTGGTGGGAGGCGGGCAGCAGTTGGTCGGCGTGGCCCCGACCGGCAGGTCCGCGGGCCCACATTCGGTCGTGTCAGGCGCCTTGATCGGCTCGGAGAGTGCTGGCGGCGGCGGTGGTGATTGAGTGAGGGCGGCCGCACCGTAGAGCCCGCCTGCCAGCAGTAAGTCTCGTCGGGTCGCCGGCCCGTTGGTTGCTTTGCAAGAGACGGCGCCGGGGGAATGCTTAAGGCTGTATTTGATGGCAGTGGGGGGATAAGGGCGGCGGTGGAAAGAGGAACCGGTGGCGTATGGAAGAGAAGCCATAGTGGGGGGAAGAAGTTGGTGAATTTGATGAGGTGTAAAATAAGAGGTAATTTGTAAGTGCCATATATAGGGATAAAACACAATGAGGGTAACTCGGTAATTAAGTGTGAGAGCATATCTTTTTTAGTTTAAAATGGAAGATGTTACTAGATCTAACTAATTTTTCACTAATCACCAAGTCCTTTTCAGATTGATGTGTGAAATTTCGTACTATAGTTAAAAGTGGTTGGAACACTAGACGTCTCGGATAAAAAGAAGTTACAAATTTGTGTCAGTGATAGGAACAAGTCATTTGAGAATGTCAACCCCTAGGTGGTTACGGACAAGCTATTTCGACTTCTCCATCTGACATGTCCTGACTCCATATTTTAGCTATAATGAAGTTGTAAATAGAACAGAAACCTCGATTTCTTGAAAAAAAATTTACAATATTTATCATGTTATAGTTTGTTTCTTGGTTTTTAACCAAAAAAAATACGAATATTTATAATATATTGTTCCGTTAAATCACATACTCATATGTATCGACCTGCTTCGACCCGCGTTCCATGATAAATTACCTATTATTGAGCATAGATTTCAAGATATCCGCTTCGACCTGGTCATTATCATTCTATGTGGTGGTTTGAGCCTCAATGGAGAAAAGATAAGGATACAAGTATTAGACGTAAGCGTGCATGCATGGCCAAAAAAAGAGTAGTAAGTAGTGAGTACCAACTTCCTTAGATAAAGAGTAGTTCGACGGTGAGCAAATCGGGAAATTACGTGCCGTCCTTTGGCCGGAACTTGGTGTGAGTAGTTGTTGGCGGCCACTTGTGTCATCTTAAAGTGCTCTCAACCACTCTCACTAGTCATTAGCACTAGCACTTAGTGTTTACAGAAACAATTAAGTAGGGTAATTAATGACTAAGTTTTACCGATTGAAGTATTGTACACTAATACAGACACTAAAAATGCTCGATCGGCAGTTAGTCTGTCTGTTTCCTAGTTATCGAATTCTTCCCATCACCTTAGGCTTGACACCTAAGGTGAGGGGAGTGATTTACCAATGGCCATTTTATGACAGGGTCGTCCCGGTTTGTGGCAGGACCAACTCGGTGGTTTGCTTAACAATTCCGTTAATAATGCTAACTAAACTTTTATGTTTTAAAGTTATAAATTAAAAGCAGTCCGACGTGGCTGCTGACGTGGTCGATGACGTGGCCTTCTCCGCTAAATAATAGTAACGGACAGTTAGCCATATCTTGACCCGCAACAATAATTATGGCTAATAATTTGAATTTACGTAGTTGTGGCTATAATTTCCCGCTTCATAATAGTTGTGGCTAATATATTGTATTTACCCTACAATTTAATATTAATGTTTGAATCAATACTACTTGAGTTCCGATTTCAGAACTAATTTCTTTCTATAAAATATAAATAGCTTAAGATAAAATATAAATATAGAAGCATCATCACCAAACATATTCCTAGAGTTCAGTCAAAGAGATAACAATAAATGAAATGTAGCCTAGTTGGTTATTATGTTTTTCCTTCATTCAAGTGATCAAGAAGGTTCGAGCTCTAATGATAACATTTTTAATATATAAACATGAACTGGGTGCAATGACAAAAATAACCTTTCTAGAATCACTCTCAGGCCACGAAATCTGAAATGGAAGAATTTCAACCCGTGTTTTGCCATTATATATTTTGTAGATTTGTGTCTTGTGAACGAGGGCCAATCACTGTTGCATATGTAATTGAGTAATGACGCACAAAAACATTGCAGTTCTGTAGTTTAGAGTTAGGTTCATTAGCTTCCGTAGAAGGGTGACATGTTGTGATGTCCCTTTGGGCTTTATTGGGCCTGCGACTTGGATTCATTTTGGGCTGGGCTTAACGATATGATCCGTTCTGTGAAATTGTTTTTTATGGACCGAAGTGGTCATTGAAAACAGAAAAAAAAAGGAGAAAATATTTCAACATATATTTTCATCAAATTAATATCCGATGAGGAAACTGCCTGGCTGGCTAGAAGTTCTAGCAGTGAACGGTAACCCTAATAGACCTATAAATATAAGATAGATCGGAGACAGCACCACCGTTTTGAGCAACAAACAAAAAAAATACAACACAATGAGTTCGTCATCATGTTTGACCTGGAAAGAAGCGGTCATCGGACTGCTGTTTGTTTCCGCCGGCATGATATGCCTCACCGGCCTCATGTGCCTTATATGCTACGGGATCAGTCCGATGGTCAGCCCTCCCAACGTCAAGCTCACCTCCGCCGTCGTCTCCGCCAGCAACGCCACCTCCCTTCTCATCGACGCCGACT